GTATTATAGTTGGATACTGCCGTGAATTATAGTTGAAAATAATCATAGAAAAAGGTGGTAAATGAAATGACTGATGCCATGTTGAAGTTGGTCTCAATCAGCTCTCTGAGGACCTGCAGTGTTCTCTGTGCAACCCCTGACCACAAAACCTCTTTCTGTGGGTGACATGTTTGGAGGAATCATCTGTTCTTCTTAAAAAACACAATCACTACCTAAGGGCTGTGTACGTATCAGCTTTACAGAGTGGATGTACAGGGTTGTTGCGTATGTGATTGGTGCCTGTACAGGCTCTCCCCATTGTTAATTAAGATGACAAAAAGWATGTATTCATACTGTAATTTTGTGTTACTGTTTAAAAGTAAAATAGGGTAAAAAAATATTAACCACTTTATGAAAGTTTAAGAAACTCACTGGTGTATGAAATATTTCTTACAAGCAAAACAAAAAAAAACTTGTGTGTTTTGAAACTTACCTCCACAAACCTCTCCAGTTATGTCCTCACACTGACGATCATCACACTCACAGTTTTTGCCATGAACCCGATTGTCCCCCGGTGGGTGGCAAGTGCACTGTCCACACTGACACTGGCCTAGAAAATCAGAAACATTCCTTTACCTCCAAACTTTATGCCATAGTTAACTATTTTATAATTTTTGGTCACCCACAGTTTACTTTGATTTTTCACCYCGCACTTAAAAATAAAACATTTAGCATACTTTCCATCTTTGCATTTTAAAATGTATTAGATGACTTGAWTTAACATCAAGTTATGAAAAAGGACACAATCTCACATGGAAATAAACAGCCAAAGCAGCTACACAAATGCTCAAACACACACGCACACACCTCAAGATGTTGCTATTCTCCTTCAATCTGTCAGCTGCCAATGCTGTTGAGGGGGTTACTGAGTGAATTCGCTAACAGTAAAGCTCATTAAAAAACATWATCTATACTAAGCCAACTCTGARGTTATGCAGCACACCTGCTCAATTAACTATTTAACAGGCTACTCAGAGTAATATTCATTACAAGCACACATACACTGTATGTACAGCATTTAAAGTGTAAGAGTTGATGGACTCTTATTTCCCCCACTCATTACTCAATGAGAATCTAAATTCCCCACTACTCACTGTATGTTAGTGTTTCCATTTTTGTTGTATACCTCTATACATATTATTTCATAGTAAACTAACCAAGTGTAATATGAATAGCTAAACTTTGCTGGGTACTGCATTTAAATATGGTGTCTTAAAAGGAAATCATTTTAGCTAAAYAAATATACTGCATGGGTTGTTGCAGAAAGGGTACACTCTACAGCAGAGGTGTCCAATGTGTGGCCCGCAAACCAAAATTGGCCCGCCAAGCAATTTAATTTGGCCCACCAGCAGTTGTCCTGGTTTTTAGATTGTAATTTCCTGTCCTATGTAGAAACACTATATTTCCACTTTTCAACCATTGGTCCACCTATAGGTACAAGGAGCTGAAGTCAGATAGTCTTAACTCACGGTACTCACTTTATCTTTGAATTAGGTTAAGATTAAATATAAAATATAAGTAACTACATGAGATATTTAGATTAGATTTAAGCACACATCTAGATTTGCACACCTTATAAGACCACATATACTCAAACTTTAATTTATGAAAAGTCCCATGAGCCTTTGCTGCCCGAGCATATGTTGAATTTGCTCCATGTCCACGGGCTGAAAAAAAATGAATGCGGGCAACTGCACTGGCTGCTGGCTTATTCATAAAAATAAAACATCTTTACTTAAGAAGTATTTGCATTTCATGTATTATATTACTGCATTTGGCCTGCGGCCCTCAGATTGATTTTAATTTTGGCCCTCTCAGGGAAAATGTTTGGGCACCCCTGCTCTACACCAAGACTGTGTGTCCACATTGATTTAAAGCACTAACTTGTGACAGTGAAGACATCATCCCAGTGCTGAAGCAAATAAACTGAGCAAAGTTTAAAAATGTTCTAATGATGAAAAGATCATTTCCATGTATRGTACCTTACATTCAACCCAGTAGGTCTTGAATTGAGGTTAGAAAATCAGTGAGTGATTTCAGACACAAAAATAATCTTTGGGTGAAACAAAATGAAAACAGACAAGATAGAACTCAACACCAACCATTGCTGATGTCCCCCATCACAGAGATCAGTTAACTGTTAGCAGTGTTGTTGGAATCATCACAATCCTTCATTATTTAAATAATCTCACAAGGTGAACAGATGGACGAACGAATGGATGGGGGGCTAAAGTGATCTTGTCAAACTATTAAACAATCATGTTGAGCAGGTCTCCCTTATGATGCACACAAAATTTGGTTTAGATTGGATCATGTATGTGTGATTTATAGCCAACTGTACGTAAATAGCGTGATGTCTAATTAGGCCACACCCCTCCAAAATTGTATTGCATTTCTGTAGTGGGGTGGATTAGGATCAACCATAGTGAATTCTGTGCAGATTRGCTGGATYATGTGAAATTWAGAGCCAAACGTATAACGATGTGATGTCTGACTTCACCACACCACCATGACCACAACTTTTACCAGAAAGTCTTTGTGATTGAAAGCAAATGAGATCAACTTCTTATCTGTGTTGTTGATGATTAGGCCAAGAGGGTCAGAGATGGCACTTTCCAAGCCAAAAATAGGTCACTTCCAGTTGTCAGGGGGCAGGACTTTGATGATATGACCACATGGTGTGGTCAGGCATGCAACATGGATGACTCATACCAAGTTTGGTGTATTTTAGACTTTCTATGTGAAAAGTTAAACCTTTCTGAAATTGTAACAAATGGACAGATGGACAGAGAGCATTTCTAAGTCCTTGGTGATGGGGAGCAAAAATGCAGCTATGACATTTTACTTATACATTCTTGTTGTTCATCAGTCCACAGCAAGAAGTGTCTTGTAAATAGGAAACCACAGGATTTTTTTCCAAAAAGAACTTCCAGAAGAAAATCAAAATCATTTTAATCACTGAATTAAAAAAACAGCAATTATATAAAAAAAGATCACCCTAATTTACAAGTGACCTGAATATTCCCCAATTCAGGAGCCATGTTCTGTGCAGAAA